ACAGGGGAAAAAGAACTGGAAAAAGGTTCAGATATCAAAATGGAAATATCTAGCAAACATAATGTCATGCGTGTTCCTAATTTTCTCGGTGGTAAAAGATGTAAGTTGTCACTACAACGTTTGCAGTGGGGAAACCAACTTTTTTATAGATTCAAAACGTGGACATTTCATTGAACGGTCTCATTACGATGATGAAAGAATTCCATATTGTAAGCGGTTTTTGGAACCCATTCCTCTTCTGTTTTGGTAGTTAATTGATATTGGTTGTGTTTATGGTGAACATGTCAAAATAAGTTCAACGTCCTTGTTTATGTCTACACATGAACCAATTTTAAATAGTAAATGGAAATCAACAACCGAAAATGATATGAGGGGAAACAAAAACGGTTTAAGACGAGGATAAGGTAACCTGCAATGATACACAAGGATTGTCGAACCTAACTTAAAAAAAGAAAAGAAATAGATGATGACGTAAAAAATAGGAGGGCTCCCCTACTGGCGTCACGCACACATTCACATCTCTCAGGCGTAATCGTTTAAAGAGATGAAATATATAAAAAACAATCCTACCAAGACGTTACGCCTTAAAAAGATACATTATAATTAAATTTTGACTGTTGTTTGTTTTCTTGTTTCTTCTTTTTTGTTCAACTCACAAATTTTGAAGACAGGTAACTCATTCCATCGGCAATTTACCAAGCAAATTTTATGAACTGCTGTGAAGTCAGATTTGTTTGCGGTTTGATGTCCGGGTCTTTGTAGTAAGTGTCATTTATTCCACGGTTCTTTCTCAGGTAACCCACCAGATACCCAAAAGGCACATATTCAATTAAAACCAACAGCGGCTCTGCAGAAATTAAACAAGCTAACTGAAAAAACACACTCACTGCGTTTAAGGATTAAGAAAACGGGTGGAAAATTAAGTTATGGTCTCGTAAGAGGGTATAGACCAATCATAACCTATCAGTAAGTGATAGAACTTGTACAGCAGACTAGTCAGTTCAGTCGCAAACATTGTCTCTACTTGCTCGATCCCTCTTTGTTAACCCAGAAAAAAAAACAAAATCAGTGCGGTCAACTACGCTTACAGATTTTTTTGTACTCGAATGTATTCCGATAGTGGCTCGATACCAAAAAAAAATGTCTCAAGAACCTGAAGCAAATTTATCACCGACTACATAGTCTTACGGAGTTAATTATGTGGAAAATGCGTAGGGCAAAATTAATCCGCCACAACCAAAGAGTACCTGACTCTGTAACACTTCCCAGAAGTTTGATCACGTTAGGGTGTGGTTTCAGCTGTTTAATTGTTTCAATTTCTTTCATCAAACCTCTTCTGTCGGATTCAGTAGCATTAGCTGGGAGTTAAAAGTAGAGTGTGTTACGGGAAAATTTACTGATTTTCCCGTGTGTGTTATTCGGTACATATTCATTCGTAAACTTTCACATTTAACCATTTCAAGTCCTTTCATTTTAATAAATCAAAAAAATGCATAAAAAACCACAGTAGCTTTTGAATGGATTTTTATCGATTACTCGCTTTTACTATGCACCTGCTTGTCGGCACTTTTGTCATCTAGTACATGGTTTTTTTAGGTAAATATAAGTGTTAATGGTCTTTCTGGAAACATTGGTTTTCATGGTAGATAGCAGCTGAGTTTAAACGCGTAAATCTAGTTTCTTTTCATGCAATGGTTTCCAAACCAATCTTGCGTAAATAAGCAGAAACTTTAATTGCTTTTCCGTTCTTTTATTTCCTGAGCTGCGCTACTGCAATTAAGTTAGGTATTGTTTCCTATACCAGAGCTGTAAAATCGCACCTAGGTTTCCTACGTTAATGGCCTAGAGTTTATTGCATCCGTCTTTTTTAATTTTGAGATTCTATCCGTCGTAGAAACAGATGGAATAATTAAGTAGTTTTCGTTTAACTTCAAAGAGACTTTTTCCGCTCCTTTGTGTCTTTATTCAAATATTGCGATTTGTGTAACAATAGCACTTCGCACCAGTTACTTCTTAAGCAAGTACCTTGTACAGCTTTGATGATTACAAACTAGAGTATGCTAGAGGTCATGTCGCTTGTTGGCCTGACCTAGAATAAAAGTACTGTGGAACCAAAGATTGTCTTATCCTTGACGTCCGTATAAGCTCGCTCGAAGTAGATCTCCGTGTACCAGGAAATCGTGACGAGTTTCCGTTCTCGCTGCCAAGTCGTCTCTACAGAGTTATTTCCCCCAGTTGTTGTTGTCCCGTCCGCGAAGATTCAGTCCTCCAGTTTTCCAGTCTTGGGGCGAAAACCTATCGTCACAAGTGAAAACTAGTGACGGAAATGACATGCAAAGTGCTGGAGAAACAACAAAAGGTCTGAAAATTCCAGTTCTTCTTCTTTTAGTTCCATTTCCGTGAGCTAAAACTGCCATTAAATTTAATCAAAATCACGAGAACCAAACAAAACAATTAACATTTTTTGAAAGTAGTGCCAGCGCACTCATTTAAGCATCACACCCCTTGATTCGTTAAATGCCGCCTCGGTTGATTGAGAACAAACATAAAGTCCTAACGTCCGCTTTCTACAGAAGGAATATTGGGAAAACTGTTGATAGCTTTATAATTTTAATAAAGAATGTTAGAATCCGTCGTTAAACTATGTAAGCTCAAGCAAGACCTGCTTTTTTTTTCTCCGGGCACATCACGAAGTCCTTCAGCTGTTCCCTTAGCAACTTGACCAAAAGCACCTTTACCAATGACTTTTTCTATGGTAACGTGATGTCTTGCAACTTCCCAGCAGCGTGTTAACGAATGAAGAGGCACGTAATCAACACCTGGAGCTGTTCTTTGTGCTTTTCTATTATCTTTGTTGACTTCTATGAGATCCATGTATTCCGCAGGAGGCTGAGTGAGTTTTCTTGAATCGGGCTGATTTGGTTCGATGTCTTCTGATCCTATTTCGTTTTATTAAACCAATATACCAGTTAAGGTATTCACAAGTAAATCTGTTATAAATTTCGATAAAAAGTCATGCCTGGTGATAGAAACAGTTAACCTATTTTCATGAGACTAACGTTTACGTTCTTCCTTTGTTATCACCAATAATACCTAATATTCTGGTCTCCAATTGAGTGATCAAGGTTTATAGCATATTCCCAGAACTACAAACTGTAACATGACGATTGTCGATTGGTAGTGGAATGCTTTGACAAATACACACGCAAAAAATTCTTGCAGTGCTCACCCCCACTTAATACTGACTAGAAAATAAGGCGGCAAAACAAGCGCAAAACATCACTCTCTAGAAAGGAAATATCAACCCGCTGAAGACCTGTTGGTTGCCGATGAAGCTCAGCCAAGGAGTGGTACACGGGAAAACCGAGGACAATTCCATTGAGTAACTTGGTAAAGGACTGGATCCCACGTCAAACGCCCTATCGAGTCAAACTTCGTCTTCTATTTTATTGTATCCGTTAAATTTACGTTTTTGATAAATTCCCTCCTTTTTTCCTTTCATTTGTTGGATACATTTGTTCTCCTGAAAGGAGCAGAAGTAAAGTTAGAACGACGTGACCTTAATTTAGTAGCTGTAACTTACGTAGTAAACACCTCTATTATCTTCATAGGTCCTACAATTGAGAAAGCGTACGTGAATTGATAAACAGCCGAGAATTTTGTTAGTTTTAGTGACATTTTATGTTAAGATGATACCAAATCTGGTGTGTTACATTGACAGAATCCAAGTGGCGGCAAATTTCTGCCTTTGTTTCCCTACAGTGTCTGAAAAAAAAAAATGGAAAGAAAAACAGACAGATGATATGGAAGTGTCAAATATTTCCTCTTTTGTTTAATGGATCTCGCCGCCCCAACCTCCTAACATGGCTAATAAATTGTTACTTACCTTTTCTGTGTACCCAGATTATGTAAATTATTAGAGGAAAGAATATGAAGGCAAGAACCCCAATTAAGGCTTTTATCAAGACGTCGTTACTAAGACAGGAACATTCCTCAAGTCCTAAAAGGATTCATTTTTATAAAGTTTAGGGAGGTAATATTCTGATCCTGGTCGATACACTGCTCTCATCACGTGGGTTAGGCCTGTGACCGTAAAAAAAGTAAACTTTTATAAGTTAGGTGCCAGGAAAAATTAAGGCGTTAATTTCCGTATGAAACTTGCAAAAACCAAATTTTGTTTAGTGGAATAAAAACAACAAAAACGGCATGAAGATGTCATAATAAAATTTGCTCAAACTATGCCGTTTTCCCAAAGAAATGGTTGCTTAAAGAAAATTGATTCGAAATACAGATAGAAAAATTCCTTCATTTTGAAAACGATTGATACTTGTAAACACTCGTTACATTTGGAAAGTTAGTAAAACCGTTCAAGTCCCTTTGAAATATTCACCTTGTGTTGTACTTTCCAAGCCATCTGTGGGTATCAAAACTTGTTTTATTGAGTCTGAATCGACTTTAAAAACTCCGAATTTATCTTGCCTTGCAGTATCCGACAGGAAAGTCAAAATATTGCTTACGATAACACTGATTGAACTCATCATGAAATCTAGAACGACACTACCACACCTAGACAAGGGAGAGAGGGGAAAGAGTACCTTTACACTTTTACATATTTGTACTTTGGTGACTTTTAAGTGTTAAAAACGCTAAGATTTAGTATTTATAATGTAATAAACCAAGGTAAATGACATGAATTGTATTTGATGTCGTCCTATGTCAGTCTACAGCTGTACATTATTGCTTAAATAAGACTTGCTGGAGCGGGAAAACCAGATTAAATGCTGAAGTTCCCCCCAGTGCACATATTTGCGTTAGCATTTATTGGTTCAACGTTAGAAGCAAACTGTACCTTACTTGGTGTTTAAAGTGTTGACGGATGAGTAGCCAAACCTAAGGACAACTTGACATGCCAAAAGTACATTTGATGATATTCTAGTCTATCGCTGTGGAGTTAAAAAAATATATATATTCAAACGCTTCATTACTGAATGACGTTAAAAATGTCATGTGATGGACCAAAAGGTAAGGATTTCATTCAAGAACAAAATAGATTAAAAACTCCTATTTATTGTTATGGAAAAATGAGTATCTTGAAATTTCCAGAATGCCTAGTCATGCCGACAAGCATACCATGGAACATTCTAGAACATCCTATTAGTTCATTTATTTAAGATGCAATATTACCAAAATGATTGTGTTGTAAGCTTCAGGAATGTTCTAGAATACTTTTTAGATAATACCTGGATTTCAATTTCACATCAAAGAAATCAATTCCAAACATCAATAAAGTTTTCTCTTAAGTTTAGAAGTTGAGTTGATGTTCTTATTGGCTTTATTAAATGGGTTGAAAGGTTTTAATTGGTATTTTCTCATGTTTGCGAATAACTGAATTTGCTGGAAGGTGGAGTTGTTGCAACATGTTAACATGAAACGCAACAATAAATTATATTGATATGTAAACAGTTTTCATTTGACTAACTACCGGCTAGTCTTTGTATTATATCTCAACCCAACCATTTCCACAACTTGTGAACACTATTTCAAAAGAATTAGTCAGGGAAATGGAAAATTTGTAGCATATACACCATGTTTGGAATGCCATGTCCATAATAATCTGACAGGATTGAGGAGGGCGTATGTGGGAATAGGTTCTGTTGTCTGTATCATTAATTTGCTACTCGCTCTTGTTGCCAATGTTTTGATGAGGTTGGGCTGTCAAAGCAAAAGAACTTAGGATTTTAATAGGCAGTGACTTTTTCCAAACCTGGAAACTATCATCATGAAAGCCATACTTGTGCCTGGTAACTTATTCCTATTCTGATAACCTAGTTTTAAGAAGGATACAATATTTTATTACATAAACATGATGAATAGGCTGTGCACAAAAATTTGATTTGACTGAGATTTTTAGAAAGATTATTAGAAAAAGAAATGTGTACTAATGAAAAAGTTAAGCAAACTTTTTTACAACATCTGCCTGTTCCTGTTCAGCAAGTAGTAAAATCATTCAAAGTAGTCAGCGTCCCGGTTCTATGATGATGTGATCGTATTTTCATCAAAGAGAGAATCTAGCAATATTGGGCAAAGTAACCAGTGATTGGCAGATGGTTGTTAAGGGTTGTCCCCAAGGTTCAACTTTTGGACCCCTTCTGTGGAATATTTTCCAAGATGATTTATTATTGCATTTTTATCAAATTTGTAACATACCGTATGTGTTAAAGTGTCCCCAATTAGTGCCTTGGCGCTAGAACACTTAGACACAGAAATTAAGGTTATGTATGTATGGATGGATGTATTTGAGCAACCGTAAACGGCTTAATTTTCAGTGTTTCATCGCGCTCTAAAGGATGGCGCTTCTAGTGGACCAAATATGCGATCGGTATTTTCTTTTGGCTCAAGACATCGGATGAACATTACTTTGCGACTCTCAATCTGATCGAGTTAAGCACACAACGGATCTTACTGCGCTGCGAGAATATCGCACGATCCTCTCGGAGTGGTGTAACATCTTTTAGGGCTTCTTTTATGTTTCATAAGCGAAGCTCTTCGAACTCTTCAAACGGCCCAAAATCTGTTGTGTCTAATGGCTCATATTTCCTTAAACGTCCAGATGCCGCGGCGACATTCACTAGACGAGGATATCATTGAGAACAGTTCGCACATCAAAACTTGAGTAGGATTGACTATTTCCACAGTAGATTAAGTTGATTTTATTTTGAGGTTTAAAAAAGGTGTGATATCGGCGGGACACCATACGGGAAACGCAGTCAGGGATCACGATGAAGACTTTTTAGTTTGCATAAATTAACGGACTTGGCTTTTTTCGACGTCGAATTGAGTGTACTAGAATCCCCGAGCCAATCATATGCTGTCGTTAGCATGCTATATTTTTAATGATGTCCTTGCTTGCGTACATCCTAATATGTTCCGCTTAACTACTATCCAATAGTCAAAACGATTTTACTTACCATTTGAACATTTCACAAAATCCACAAACTAAATCGCACCTTCTAATTAATTGTATGAGCATCAAACATCATACCCGTAAATATAATCGCAAAAAAATTTATTTCAATTTTAGTCCGATATTGGAATGTTTGTTTGAATTATGTCAATTAGAGCTTAAAATTGATTTTTTCATCCTGACATGTGGCCACGCATGACCGATTTTTTCAACCTCACAACTGCACGTGTAATTTATTTGCTTTTAACCTTCGCGGCAAAAGATGTTGGAAACTTCAATAATCGTGTTTCGAGGCTGTTTTGGTTTTGCCTTACTCCTAATAGTTCTCAATGCACCACAAACTCGTACGTATCTATTTCATATACCTCAAGTTCCATTTTAATTCCTGGGAAGTTCTCTGTGGTCGTTTATCAATATGTTTTCAAAATAATTAAGGTTGCCGTTAAAGCAAATGGTTTTAATAGTAGTTTAATGCCTTTAGCATTCAGCACGGATGTATTGTTTCTTTACCTGATATCATTTCAGGGTCCGTTACGATTACAACCAAACCGCGCAATCCAACAGACGTTGTGGAAGGATTGAACAGTGGAAGAGTTCTACTTGTTTGGAAATTCACTCTTGATTCTAGCGAAAATTTGCAGAAAATTACCATCGGAAGAAGGAGACCCGATGGAAATCAAGTAACAACAATAGCTACGAGACCGGACGCTAATTCCTCTCTCAGTGTAGATGGTAAATTTAGAGTATTCTACATTGCAAAATCTCCGGCAACCCTAGTCTTAAAAAACGTGAGAAGAACAGATGATTACGTATACTGTCTTGAGATATTTTATTCTGATGGTATTGGCAACGGTCGGACGAAAACAGACGTTCGTGTTCGCGTGTTTGGTGAGTATGAAACCACTTCCCTTATCTTTGTTACTCATGCGGTTGAAATGGCTGTTTTTAAGTCTTCAGAGATAAAATTAGGAACGTATTTCTGTATTTCTAGGTATTCGTACTACATCAATTGCAGGGTTTCGTTAGAGATAATAAAGTGCAGTTGTTACGTTTCTTGATCAAGGGTTAAACCGCAACAAGAGAAAACCGTAGTGTCACAGGAGAAATCAGTGAATATTAGCTGTGGATGTTATAGCAACATAGTAAATATCTAACTCAGAAGGAATATATATAAGTGATGTTTCCTGATATTGGACATTAAATATTTTTTTGAATGACGTGGATGAGATGGAATGTAAATTTTCCCATTGCGTTGAACTATAAATATACTGCAAAGTAGAACACACGTCAGAGGTTTGCGTCAGTAGTGTGTGTTTTTTTTTTTATTATTTTGAGAACTTTCTAAGTTCATGTACTAAAATTAACTCAATAATAATCCCTGCAATTTTAATTGTTTCCAAACTTTACAGAGCTATTTGCTGCTTTAATTTGGAGTTTGTGTGCCGAGTGCCTCGGCGCCTCTATGATTTTTATCAACCAAGAGCACCAAAAAAATTTTAGAGAGATTAGTAAGCATATCTTGTTTTGGGTCTGTTTACAACATCAACTTTAAATAGGGTTAACACTTTTAGGGAAATGGAAATGACGTCTCCAGTTACGCCTGTTGCTCAATTCCAGTCAACCAGCTGGAACTTAATTGTTTGCTTGTTTGTTTGTTTTTTTGGAATTTAGTCATGGTTTCCAATTTTAGTATGCTGAAAGAAAAGAAATTAGGATCGGTAGCCAGATTTTATTTCATACCCCCAATGATGTTAAAAAATGATAAAACCTCAAAATAAAAGGCGATTCATAGCGACGTTCGCATGATGACGAATTTCATCTTCAGCCCAACGAAAGCTATTAGCGAAGAAGAAATATCATGATAATACTATAACGGAAGCAGTAAGGTTTCTTCGCATGTTTACTTGTATGCTACATCTGTCTTTTTCCAGATGTGCTTTATGTCTCGACGCTAAGAAAAAAAATTCGAGTGTGGTGAAATCGAACAAATAAAAGCAGGAGCAACTAAAACGACCACACCATAATTCCTGATGCCCATAATCAGCTGTAATGAATACCATCTCTGACAATTTGAGACGAAATCGGTTATTCCTTGAAAGCCGGATGAAGGTTGCTTCAATAAAGACAGAAAAGGAAAAAAAAGGAAACGTCTAAACGCCTCTTTCTTGCGATTTTTTGACTGCCCACTAAATTTTGTTTCTTTACTAATTTAATTATGCATCAACCTTTGTCTGCTAAGCGTACTCAAAAGCCCTTTTCTCTGCTAACTCTTGCTGAAGAATATTCTTCCCGTGTCTGATACTCTTGTGTGCATTTACTGAGAGAGTAGATATTTGTGTTCATTTTGCTTTTACTCCCTTCATTATCAGCCCCTCCAAGTATTACCAACGCGCCTATCGAGAGGGTACATATAGAGGCTGGAAAAGATTTAACGCTAACATGTAATGCCTCCGGTGATCCCCAACCAAATATCACCTGGACCAAAGATGGCGTCCCAATGAGCTTCTCTAGTGACGCCTTTCATCAGTTTCGTCTTACTGACTTACAGAGCGAGGATTCAGGATCGTACAAATGTACAGCCAGTAACGGATACGGCAGTGATGCAACAACTGTTAGCAGAGTCGACGTAAAACGTGAGAACTGATGTAAAACCCAATTCATTGCTCTACCAATTAAGTTGGGATATGTTTCACATCGTTCCTTGGTGTGTTTTTAGCCTTTGCGTTGAGATGGGATTATCATTTTTCTTCTTCTTACAAAATGGTCTTAGCAAAAATCTCCTTTGTATCTTCCCCTCATTTCTTCGTTTCCCCCTTGAATCGGAGGTTCTCATTTCACATACAAAAAAGTGCCTCCTTAGTGGACATGACTGGGGCAGAATTTTTGAAGAATCCTGATATACGTTTTAATAAATCCAAAGCTCACCTTTCCGTCTCCTCTAAATTTATTTAGATGCGGACACGCCATACATTTATTTCATAGACTAAACAGTTTTTGGTGTCATATTTAGTACCGCCGAGAATAATCCTTCCTTCAGTTAGAGAGGCAGAGATCAAAATTGGAGATGATTTCGTCTTGGTATGCTACGCATCTGGTGACCCAACACCCAACATCACTTGGACTAGAGAGGGTTTCTCAGCGATTGAATCTATTGGTACCGACAACTTTCTGCGACTTGTTAATGTGAGCAGAATGAGTGCAGGATTATACAAGTGTACAGCTGGTAATGGATATGGAAACAATGCTACCAGTCTCACCATAGTCAGCATTATATGTAAGTATCTTATTTCGTTTGTGCTCAGGAGGCTAAAAGTCTTAGTGATGCTAGTTGATGCGACGGAACTTCTGTGTATTTTGGTTTACATTGTTCACGACATACGAACAAATCACATCATGGAATATCTCCTTTTATGATAGGGTTCGGATATAGCACACGCTTTCATTAGTTGAAAGAGCTTGTTATCAGAGTACAAAACACGGAGCTAGGCGAAAGCTATCACGCTATCTGTCAATTTGTGGAGTGTCCGACCATCACTTGGATTTCTCTCCGGCTTTTTTTTCGTTAGCCGGCAAGTAGCAACAGGAGAACCTAAATATGGTTTTTAAACATCCCAAGCGCCGTAATTGGCGTTATTATAACGCGAGTAGGGACGAAAATCATCAAAGAAGAAACGAAATAGACTGTCCAAGTTTTAAAGTTTTTACGCTCAGTGAGATTGTAAGCTTACGTAAAGTGTATATAGTTTCGTGTTTGAAAACAAACAGAACAAAACAGGAATAACGAAAAATATAAGCAAACTGGCGTAACTGTTAAAATTTATACAATTAATGATGGTTTCTGAGCTACTTCGGTCATGTTGTGTTCCATCGCGGCGCGGCAAGAGATCGTCTTATTTAATAGATACATTGCTTTTTTGCAATTTTGTGACTTCCTCTCTCGGTAATCAATGTATTATTAATACTTTCGATGAACTCTAAGAAATCTATGAAATGGCTATTGGGGAATTTATGCAATAATGTTTTGAAAAGAAATGGAAACGCTCATACTCTATCTCGACATAGATACAATATGTAAATTTTTGCAATTTTTGTATGACAGGTGGTGAAAAATGTGAGCCTCGCAAAGTTGGACTAACGCTCACAAATGAAACGTGGACGCAGTCTTTATTAAACCGGGATTCTATTGAGTTCAAGACCTTGGAATATAACATTTTGTCCGCAGTGAGTACGAAGTAAACGATATAGAGGTTAGACATAACGTCTTTTTAGCGATCCCGTAAACGTTATCATCAAACCCACTAAAGAAAGGTTTGAACGTCATTTCATGGTCATAGCGTTCGATGCGAAGTCTTTCTTAAACCATGAGCTACCTCTCTTTCTCGGATCAGTAGCTGATTGCATGATTCATAGGAAAGAAGTCATTAAGTTACGTCTGTGTCGATTCAGTCATTTCCCTTCTTGCTTTTGACACTTGCGGGATTCCAGCTGGGAAAGTGGGGCTGTTTCTAGTCTAGAGTCTCACCTGAAGAAGCTTCTTTGGGGAAATCAGTAGATGACATCCCAATACGCTGCCAAGAAGTAGACCGATCGAGGCTAAGCTAGAGGTGGGGAAACAAAAGTTTTTGGCGGCATTGAAATTTGGGTGTGAACTTATCTCGCTTTGATTAGGTTGGCTGTGAAGACACGATAGATAAACTTGTGCATGTTTATAAAGGTACTCTTGTGCAATTGATGGAATACAGTATTACCTCAGTCACTTTAATAGCTGCTCATTGCAAATAAATCTTCCTTTAATACATTTCTATATCATTCACTCTTCTAATAGACAAGGTTCTCATTGCTGTATATGTCAACACACAACTTGAACAATAATCCATTCCGTGTCTTTAGATCTGGAATGTTTACGCGCAACAGTCTGGAAAGGAGCTTTACAAGGTGACAGTTGTGGAATTTAGGTTGGTACATTCTCTATTGTTCTTGGACCGGTTTTCCATAAAGGAACTTTAACGTTATATCGCTCTGTTAGGAATAGAAATCGTATTCTTATTTCCTTTTTAATTCGGTTTTAGGCCTGGTAGTGTCGTTGCCATTGTTAGGCTTATGTTTGGAAAAGGGGCGATTGATCCTTTGAAACCAATCCAAGATGAAATTTCGGATGGAAGATTGTCTTCTCTAAAAGTCAATGCTGTATTGGATGTGAATCCAAAGGATCCAGCTACAACAACAAGTACACAATAATACTCCCTTAAAACCTTTTTAGTTTTCTAGGGGAAGTCAGTTAGTAGAGTTTGCCAGGTGTGCTAGCTGTATCCAAGTGCATTAACTGTGGTGTACTCGTATCCAAAAACAAGCAAAGAGTTGTCATTCTAGACGAGAACGTACGAAGCTTCTACACTTCCTTTTCTAGAAAGCTTTTTAAAATTTGACTGTCAAACAAGATATAAACGAACAGAGCTACAAGCTAAAAAGAAAGACCGAAACGAAACCAAGCAAACTGATACACCTTTTTGAAATAAGGAAGACGCAAAGCTATTTTAAGATAAGTGACAATTTTTTTCACCATGAATTATCGAGAACCTGTCCTTAGGAAACAAGACTTTCTACAATTACCATCAGAAAAGTTAAAGCTTATAGTTAATGGTTACTGTCTTTGTTCTGTAGAAAATCAGACGGAAACTTCGAAAGCAGGTGAGTGATATTTTGTGTCATTTTTTCGGTTTTTCAGTTTTTAAAGCCGATGCACTCAAGTAGGCTTTTCATGCCGTGCTACCTGATTAAATGCGCATCAATGCCTATTCTCTTTGGTTAATATTACGTTGCGTTTTAGAGATTTCATCCCTTAGGCATATATAAACATTTTTCATTGATAAGAGAATACAGATATAGAATACAGATATTTTCTTAGGCTGTAACACCTTAGGTACAATTCCACTGCAATATGTGTGGCATGAACAACCATAAACGTTGCTTTATTTAAAATAGATCGTTACTTTTTTAGGTTTCGATTGGCTCAAGGAGGGAACCATTCTTCATGTTGTGTATTCAAGTGTCATTTTTGTCCTTTTGGTGATTTTCTTTGTGGTCGTTATCTTGCTATGGAGGAGGCGTAATAATCCAGGTACTCATTTATACGCTTTGAAGTGTGCTGTTGTATGATTTGTTTGGTGAACTCCTTCAGTGTTTGGTTTCTTGTTCTCTGATTTTATTGTTTTTTTGTTTACCTCAGTTAAATAAGTTAGCATGTGACAAACGTAATACATTACTGATGAAAAAGCCTTTTGAGGTTATTTAAAAATTCAAGTCACAGAGGTATCCGAGACCTTAGGGCTGTCTTTTTTAAGTAGACTTGAGAGAAATAGTCTGCTACCCGTTTTGCTTCAGTAATGGATAAATTTAGGATACTGATTTTTTTTGTTTCGTAGGTCCTTCGACTGAAAATGCGAGGTAGGTACAGACAGTATTATGTTTGTATCATGGTGTTTTGTAGTTTCTAGATGCAATCATATATTTGCAAACATCTCGCTGAGCATGCTCACTGACGGAGAGAGCTCATTAGATAATCTCAAACAACGCGGACGGTTGGATTAGAGTAAAAAAGTTGGAATTTTTGGGCAGAAATTTGAAATTGAATTGGTTTATTGTTTGTTGTGAGCAAGAAATCAGATTGTACCATAAAGTGTCAGGGGGCATGTGTAATATTTTCAGTATTTGAAAATTTACTTTGCTTATGTATTCCCAATTGGAATGAACTAAATAACGTGTAAAGCTTCACTCGAGGATTTGTTCATGTAGTGGAATATCGCTCACTCGACTTCTATCAGTTCGAACTTTCTGGCTAACTCAAATTGAAAGTAATTTACATCGAGGTACATTTTTCACTCAGTTACTATCTATGGACTTGATCGCCCAGGTATCTCGCATAATGTTAGTTTTCATTACGGCTAAAATGATTTTTTTTAAGTTCGTTTTGGTTGTTTGGCCCCTCATTTTGATTAGTGCTGGGTATTGTTATTACTTTTAAGAAGGTAACGACTCCGCGTCAAGTTCTACCACTATGCTGCCCATATTTATATACAACATGTTCATTCTGGATTTTTTTCAGTTGCCGTTATCATCGCAAAAATGCTACGGATAATCAGGTAAATATGGAGAATTTTCGATGGAAAGAGATGAAGTGCCTTGTTGTTATCAGACTTCATGATCACTTGTCAGGTGTTTCGTTACAGTCACCGTTGCATTTGGTTTTCGTCATTTTTTTCACTTCGCTTTTAGGATCAAGGGAACCCAGTTCAAGCCAGTGAAGCATACGTGAATATCTCCGAACGTCTGATTTTGAGCGAAGAGGAAACGGTAGTTATTCAATCGTCGCCATCAAGTAACGCAGTACCGAGCAGAAGACATCAAATGGACTCTGAGTATATGTCCATTAAGGGAATAACAACAAAGTTCAAGAAATGGGAAGTAAAACGGGAAAATGTTCAAATCTCGAGAGTTATTGGAAAGGGTGCTTTCTGTCAGGTTGCTAAGGCAACTGTATCAGATATTAATGGAATAAGGGAGTAACAACAGTGGCAGTTAAAATGCTGAAAGGTATGTTGCGGAGACAAGTAGTTGGTACCTATCATTTAAATCGTAATTACAGAACAGACTATCAATAAATCAACAATTTTTACAAGGAAAAAAGCGAACTTTGAAAAACATACATGGCAAAGCGGCTCTTTCCTGTTGGGATAGTTTGTTGCGTACTCTAAGAGTGGCATTCCTTATTCGTATGAGAACATTTCGTATGAGCACATTGTATTCTATGCAACTACAAGTCTCAAACCTTCTCACATGCTTATGTGTAATGGCAATGTTTTTCTTTATTTTTGATAGAAAATGCCCCGGATAATGACAAGAAAGATCTACTGTCAGAGCTGGATTTGATGAAGAAACTAAGGCCTCATCCTCATGTCATTAAACTGATGGGATGCGTCACTAAAACTGGTAAAATAGGAAAGAGATATTGATGACACTTTCGTTTGTTCCGTCAAATCTGAATTTTAGTTAAGTTTCATGTTGAAACAAAGGGTTATTTTGCAGATCCTTTGCTTGTTCTGATTGAATACATACCTTATGGTGATCTGTTGGGTTACCTAAGGAAGAGTCGCGGCCTAAATGACACATACTTTAAAGATCCGGATGTTAAACCTGAGACCAACCTAACCTCAGAGCAACTGATACAATTTGCCCTGCAGATTGCTGATGGAATGAACTTCCTTTCTGCTAACAAGGTATTCACGAAGCGTGTGTCAGTGTAGCACCTTGTTTTCCACTCTGAAAAAGTGTTAGGTCGTAGCAAAACTTTGCTCTGAAGGATGATTTGGAAGGTAAAAGTAACCCTTCGATGCTAATGAACCACAAATTCTCGGATTATGGCGAAATTACCTGGTTTGTCATGTTTATCAAGGCTGAATTGTTGTGCACAATGATAACCCATACGGGCACGTACTTGTTTCACTCCCCTCTTCCCCACTGCAAAAAAGGGAAAAACAACATGTAAAGAAAATATTATTCCTTTCGTCGCAAGCGTAAGAATGAGAAAGAAATCCAAGTCCTCTATCGCATCTAATGTACGGAGTTAGATCGGAGCTATGTAATTCTCATTTCCTGTCCCCCAAACCTCCTCGTCATGTCGTCAGATGTTTCTGTTTCTCGTGTTATCTTCGTGGCTTGTCTAATTTCGCTTCTTGAGTCACTCCACATTTTGTGGCGTCGAAAGGTAATTTGTGTCGTCGAAAAGTAATTCGTGTCGCAGCAGTCACTGCTTGTGATCAGCGGTAAGCACGTTTTAATCGTT